ATTGGTTTTTAGTATCTGAATATTTCTTTAATAAGGCCAGTTCTAATGTAACATAGCTAATCACTGTCAATAATTTACAGTTTAAGAAACAAATTCAGGGGCAGCTAGGTGGCACAGTGGATAGAGCACCGGCCCTGAAGTCAGGAGGACCTGAGTTCAAATCCGGCCTCAGACCAAACACTTGACACTTATTAGCTGTGTGACCCTGGGCAAGTAACTTAACCCAAACTGCCTAAGAAAAAAAAAAGAAAAAAAAAAAGAAACAAATTCAACCTAACAAACACCATGAAAAGAAAATATTACAAAATCCATCACAGATGTGTACACTAGATTAAAGGAAAAAAAAATTTTAAATTTGCAGAGATCACTTCAACCCTGGAAATCAAACCTTGTAAGTACCTCTGCCCCTGTGCCCCTTTTTCTGATTGGATCTGGACAGCTATCTGGACAGTTCTTCTGAGAACCTCCACTTAAAGAGAGTGCCCAGGCCTTTCCATTTCTCACCAGGCTGCAATCCAGACTCTACCATCACATCATTCACATGCAACACTCCCTCCCACCTTCCTCATATTTTGTATTCTCCCCATTAGAATATAAGCTCCTAGAGAGAAGAGGATATCTTTTGTTGTTGTTGTTGTTGTAATTGTATTCCCAGTGCTTAGCACAGTGTCCAGCATATAGTAAGTATTTAAAACTTCGTACTGACTAGGCTGACTGACTGAATGGACAGGAAGTAAGCTCAACAAACGAAGAAAAACCTCAAGCCCTTGTTTTCAAAGTTATTTTAATAGCTGGCACATAAGAGGATTTTAAATCAAGTATATACTTTATAATACTTGTTCAGAAAACAGAAAAACAAAACTTTAGTTATTTCACAACTTATAAAAAAACATGCTCTTTGACAATCAAATCATTAACCTTTCTAACTACTAGTCTCCAGCCCTTCCAGAGAGAACAAATGTTTACAAGCTGTATATGCATGCCACATAATATTGCTTTATGTGAGGTAGAGGGCAAACCATGACAATACAATCCTTCTTGTGTACTGTTCAAAAGAAAGATGGTCAGAGATTCTGAGTGACACAAAAGCAATGGAACAGATTCTCCACTTTGCTCTTTAGTCATGTCACACTGGCAGGTCTACATATCAATGAAAAGACTACCCAACAGTTTAACGCTAGCACAGACAGATGTTAGAAACTAAAGTGTCTACGGTGAATAACTTCAACCGCAGCATATAACATGGCAACAATAGCACTCATGTCCATTATCAAAGGGAGTACACATTATAATTAATAGTCAATTGAGGGCAGACCCTGAGAGAGAGAGAGAGAAAGAGAGAGAGAGACAGACAGACAGACAGACATGGAGATAAGGCTTGAAAACAGCTAATACAATCCACTCAAGCTTTTTATTTCTAAGGACAATTTTTTAAAAAATTTCCTTGCCAATGGATAAGAAAGGTACAAACTTTTTGGTTTTATACATGTTGGCCAGTTCGGTTTACATTATCTCTGGAACATCAGGGTTAGTATTAAGTTGTTTAAGGACACAAGGCAACCAATAAACTCTAAAGTTGGAAGTGGAACACACTTGACATCACATGTATATTCTTCAATTGAAAAAACTGATGTGGATATTTCTCCTCCCAATACAAAGAAAAAACAAATCACCTGGTGGCCAACCCTCTAAGGATGAGCCTCTCCAAACCTGGCCTTTGATGAAAGACATATTACTGAGCTCATATTCAAAGTATTTCCAACATGTTAAAAGCATGTACTCCCTTGGCAAAGCCTTTGAGAACTCAGGGTCACCTTCACACATTAACAAGACTTCAGAGCAGGACTACAGTGACATAACTATATATAGGTATAGTGGCTAGTACAGACATGTGACTACATCAATGTAGGAAACCTCTCAGTGTTTGGAGGCTTTATCAGTGCAGATCAGCAATACGACCATTAATTTATAATCCTGAAGAGATGTCAGGGACACTAGTAGATTAAGTGATTTGCCCATGGTCATAAAGCTCATATGTGTGAGAGGCAATACTTGAACCTAGTTCTTACCGATTTCAAGGTCAGACATCTTTTCACCACATCATGTCACCTTCTTTTATGTTCTTGCTTTTATAAAATTATAAGGAATACAGTACACCTTTATTATCTTCCAGTGGATACTAGAGTTAAGATATAAGAGAGTCCCTTGTTTACTCTTCCTTCCTTCCTAAGCATCCAGGAAATGAGTCAATGCTTGTTCCTAATACTCAAGATCAACTACCAGCAAAAGTGTTGAACACCAAAACATTTATAGATCTCTCCTACCCGTAAGTATAGGATCCACTAGATGATTTGCTCGTCCTTCCCTGAACTGAGCTTTGACAGCTGCTGGCTCTATGTCTTTAGACAGGCTACTGCCCAAGTCTGGGACATAGCTCCCTTCTCAGAATCTTCATTCCAGGCTCAGCTCAAGCATGACTTCCTGCTTTAGAGTCTGCAACGATTCCAGCTGCTAGTCCTTGTCTCAATTTACACTGTGTTCATGTTGTATCTATCCCCACAAAATAAACTGTTTCCAATTTCATCTTTGTATACTCCGCACCTAGCCTGGCCCTGGGCACATAACAAGTATCTAATAAATTTTTGCTGAACTGAAAGGAAACAAATGGCAACAAGTTTGGAGAGACAGGAAGGAAGCTTAGGCTAGTGCTTTAAAAGATGACGCCTTCCATTTCCATCATGGCATGAGAATGAAATAGAATAAAGAAGATGGATGGCTTTCCAGTTTGTCCTGGATCTGATCTTCACAGAAAATCTATTACTTTATTGGAGGTTTTAGTTCCTATAGTATCAGTCACATCAAGATATTTTTGACTGAGCATTTGCCTAGGTGCTGTGGGAGATACAAAAAAGCATAAAATGTAGTATCTGCCCTCCAAAAGTTTAGAAGTTTAGTTGGAGAGACAAGACATAATAACAGCCCCTAGGGGCAACAAGGTGGCGCAGTGAATAGATAGAGCACCGGCCCTGGAGTCAGGAGGACCCAAGTTCAAATGAGGCCTCAGACACTTGACACTAGCTGTGTGACCCTAGGCAGGTCATTTAACCCCAATTGCCTTACCAAAAAAAAAACCAAAAAAACCCCAGCACCTACCTCCCAGGATTACTGTGAGGACCGAAGGAGATCACATTTGTAAAGCACTGACACTTAATAAATACTTCTTTCCTCCCTCTCTCTGTAAGGGAAGGAGAGGACGTGCAATACATCACTCCCCATCTTCTGAGTTAATTCATTTATCTGTGGAACTCCCATCCTTGTCCCAGTCATCCTGCTTAGAGTCTGAGAGAACACACTTATCTAGAGCATTATATCAAGCTGTCACAGACCCCAGCCCATATTTACCTTTTGACCCCATCCAGCTGTCCATCCAGGTCATCTCATCATCTGCTCTTCCTTCTCCCATTTCCCACTCCCTACCCACCTCTTGTTCAGGGCAAAGTAAGTAAATCAATTATCAGTTAATTAATCAAAAATATTTATTAGGTGCCTATTATATGCCATGCACTGGGTATACAAATACAAAAAATGGATCAGTCCCTACTTGCAAGGAGCTTACATTCTAATGGGGCATATGAATACACAAATATAAAGTGAATAAATACAAATATTTACAAGGTGGTTGGGAGAGGGCCCTGGAAGGTTAGGGGGTGGGAGTGAGGGGCAAGAAAGGCTTAATGCAGAAGAGGGTGCTGAGTTGTACCTTAAATGAAGAAAGGGACTCTAGGAGGTAAAGGGGTGCATGCCAGACATAGCGGACAGTCAGAACAAAGGCAGAAGGAAGGAAAATGGTATGTCATATCTGAGGAATGGAGAGAAGGTAAATTTGGCTGGATCACAGAGGATGGAAGGGAAAGTAATGTCAAATGAATGTGGAAAGCTAGCACCAGGTTAGAGAGTGCTTTAAAAAAACAGGAAAAAAAAAAGCTAAACAGAGGAGTTTTTATTTTATCCTAGAGCTGGGGTGGGGAACCTGTGGCCTTCTAGGTCCTTGGGTGCGGCCTTTTGACTGAGTCCAAGTTTTACAGAATAAATTCTTTTATTGAGGGGATTTGTTCTGTGAAGTTCGAATTCGATCAAAAGGCCAAATTAGAATTTATTGAGGGAAGTCATGGTCGATTCTGTATTTCAGGAAAATTACTTTGAAATAGTACTATTGTTTTTGGTAAAGTCCCCATGGATCAACTCATTACTCCCGTAATTTTCCTAATCAAAACTCCTTTCTCTGGTCAACACTCCTCTAAAAGGTGTTGTGTCTTTGTATTAGGATACAAGCTTTCTCAGAGTATGAAGCATGGACTGTTTCACTTTTTATTTTTTATTCCCAGTGCTTAGCCTGACATGTGGCATAAGAGTGCTTAATAAATGCTTTTTTCATTTATTCAGCCTTCACCTCCAACCAGCTCCCAAGGCCATCATGCTAAAGCCATGGCAGTGATGGAAGCTATTACATGAAAAAGTAAAACATTTTCTCAAAGCTGCAAACACCTACTCTGATCATAGGGACTGTGCTGTGGTGTCATTTAAGTAAAGGGAGACAGTGTTTTACAAGTGAGAAAAATCTTAAAACTGAAGTCACCATCATAGTGATAACAGAAGCTAGAGCAGCAGAAGTCACAAAATCCACACACTCCCTATGGCTAGAGCCTCAATTCTGATACTCCTTGGTGAGAGAATACATAACCAAAAGAAGGAAGTCACAAAAATGGGACACAATGATTACAACAACAGGTCTGTGGAAATAATTCCACTTGCTCAAGGCTAGCTATGATTTTGTGCTGCTGGAGTATCATGAGTTTTAAGAAAGGGTAGTAACAGGCAGTTGGCTTCCTCCACCCCCTGCTTCTCTTAGCTCCCCCAGGGCACGTGCAAACCTGCATGAGATCAATCTACCGACTGATGAAAAACAGCTGAAAGAATTATGGGTAAAATTTTCACTCTACCTGGCTACGGACTGTATTGCTCATATGGCTGTCTTCTGTCATCTGTGCATTCTGGAAGTAGGGTAAGGGTGCAGATAGCTCCGTCATTGGAGCAGCCTTATGGACACACTTCTCTTCCACAGAAACTCAAAACCTCTTGCAATGCTGAAAAAAGGGAAAAAAAGAGAATATACTAATATGTTAAGGTTACATTTGTCTTAAAAAAAACTTGTATAAGTTATATGTTATAAAAGCAATCTTTTTAAAAAATTTTTTATTTTTAATATACTCTTCAATATAACCAAACTATTTAGTTGACCTGAAGAGTTTACCTTCGAATTACATCAGGATCTCCAGTTCTCAAGATGGATTCCATCAATTCAATTAGAGTTGAACAATTCTCCCTGGTAATCAAAACCCATGCTAATCAAATACTCATAAGATTAGGCAATAAGCCAGAAAGTTATTCTATTAACATAAAACGAAAAACACATTTTCAGTAGAAGGTACCCTCTTCCTGATGAGAGAGTCTATTCAGGAAACAACTTATAAGATCAGAAGGCTAACGAATACTGAATTAGTGTAAAGGACGTTGAATAATATTTAGAGAAATGTTCTTTAAGCTACAGTAGACTAATTAATGAACTATCCCCATTATCTATTTAAAGAACCAGAAACAGTAATGTAGAATCAAAGTATATTCTCTCCTTGAGTCAATGCTGTAAATTCTTACTCTTGATCTACTCTTTTCTCTGGATTCCATGCTAGGTCTTCCTTTTTTCTTTTTCTTTTTTGTGAGGCAATCAGGGTTAAGAGACTTGCCCAAGGTCACACAGCTAGTACATGTCAAGTGTTTGGTCTGAGGCCAGATTTGAACTCAGGTCCTACTGACTTCAGGGCCAGTGCTCTATCCACTGCGCCACCTAGCTGCCTCTAGGTCTTCCTTTTTAAAATAATCTTTGTGCAGTGAATAGATCACTGGCCCTGGAGTCAGAAGGACCTGAGCTCAAATCTGGTCACAGACAATAACACTAGCTGTGTGTCTCTAGGCAAGTCATTTAACCCCAATTGCCTCGAAAAAAAAAAAAACAAAATAAAATAATCTTTAAATTCTTCAAAGTTCATTTACATTTATTATCTCATCTGATATTTACAACAATGAGCTAAGGCAGATATTATTATCCCCACGTGACAGGTGAGGAAAAAGAAATGCAGAAGTTAAGTATGCATAACCTCATACTGTTAGTGAGGGAAAGGTCCAAGTAAGTCTTCTCCTGCTGCCCCAGATTCTTTCCTCTATCTTCTCATTTAAAGGAATACAATTATCTCTTTCATCCATCAAGGTTTCAATATTTTACCTATAATTCTTTCTTAAATGGGAATTTTGGGGGAGTTTTGTGGAAGCCGAAAACAACACAGAGCCTATGACCAAATACTTAAAACCCAAATTGTGAGGGACTGTCTGATGTTGGCAGCTGCCAGTTGGGTGCTGTGGC